TGAAGCTAAAATACATTACAAGTTCATATTGATATTTCTAATTCAAATTCAAGATGATAGTTTTTAACTTAATCTCTTTGATATTATATCTATCTCTCCTTTCTCATATGCTAAACACCCTAGATTCTATAAACACCAACATAACAACTTGTTGTTTCCTACATCACATACACAACAATCTCAGAACAACACTATTATGGTAGATTGCTGTCATTACACCTTTCATATCTATACACTTTGCCGTGTCAATTTGTAGTGTTTTTATATTCTTACTCTGGGCCCATCCAATGACTTTCACTGGCCAAAAGGCTCTCAGTAGCCATGAAACAAAAAGAGGATAGAAAAAATTCTTGCATGTTTCTGCTTTCTCTCTTGTACTTTTGTGATGGCCACAAGAACATGTCTGGGCTAGTCTGCTGGAGCTACCAGGGACCAAAAGACATGAAGGACGTAGAATAGAGCCCTATTGACCCTGTTGTCTGTCTCAGGCAAGTCATTCTAGATTAGTCAGAAGCCAACTAACTCTCAGATTGAGCCCACCAAGATCAGCAGAGCCATCTAGACAACGTAAAATGATTACATACTCATGAGCAAGACCAGAACATATCAGCTAAATTCTGCAGACTTGTGAGCTAAGTAAATATTTGTTATTTTTGTTTTGTGTTTGTTTGTTACTAAACATTTTGTGGTGAGGCATAACTTCTACAAACAACACAATGTGATTACTCAAAAGAGTTTTTAGGAATTTTTTGCAATACTTTTCATTCATAGAGTATATTCCACTAGATAGTGCAGTCAATTTATGTGTTTTTAAGATACATGAAGTAGTTCCACTCTGTGTAGTTATGTACCAACAATACAAAGTAAAGTTCATTAATGTTATTATGACTTCAGTTTTCAAGGTTTAGTTTTCATTTAATTTTGTTTCATAATAATGTAACATTGACATAGTTTCAAGGCAATATACAACACAAGATGTATTCAGAGAAGTGTAGCTTATATTTCTGTCTGTCCACACTGTTTTCTCCCACCCTATAGATAACCATTATTTTAGGTTTGGTTTATCCTGCCATTTAAAAAAAGAAAATCAATAGATTAAGATATATATGTGTTACTCTCCCTTCTCATATAAAGTAGCAGAATATAGAGAAAGCCCACAGTGACATTGTTTTATGCCTTGTGTTCAAAGCAAGGTTGTTAGCAACTAACTATTCTCCTTGGCAATAACAATAACATTAAATAGTAGCATTTTGGGGAAAAATAGTGACATTAATAATAGTAACATTAAATAGTAACATTAATAGCTATTAAAATAGTAACAATAATAGTAGCATTAAATGTTAAATGTTAGTACATTTAGGTACCACATTAGTGTCAATTATGTGCTAGACATCTTCAGAACAATAGTTGAAAAAACTGACAGACAGTTTAAGCAACTTGTTCAAGATTACCCTGCTAACAAGGAACAAACTGTACATGGCATCTATACTCCTCCTATTCCGCTGTACATCCTCTCGTTATACCCTAATTCTTTCTCCAAGTTGTACTATACTGCCATATGATATGAAAGGGTTGGAAGGAACTACCTCTAATCTTCTCTCAAGTTTGAAAATTCTATGATTCTATAATGATCTAGGTTTTAAATTCAAAACAAAATGATGGAGAAAATTTATTGTGAAGATGACATTCACTAGCATCCACACACTACAGATTATAGAAAGTTTTCAACTAGTTCACAGATAAGCATCATAAGCATCATATTGGTATTTTGTTTATGTGATACTAAACACTAATGTTTTTGGAATGTAAGGTGAAGAGAAGAATTCTTTTGATCCATATGACAGAGATTCAATTCAAAGTGAAGTAAGCTAAATAAATAAATTGAAGGGAAGTATTTATAACCAAAAAGTCCAGGACTAGTTATCTTCAGGGATAGTTGGACGTAGGTACTCAGATGATATTATCAGCAAATATCCCTCCGCATATAGCTCTCCTTTCATTGGGATTGCCCTCATTGTCAGGTAATTTTTCCTCTTGCTAGAGTATCTTCCTACAGCTTAGCAAGTCTGATAGATAGAACTTTTTTTTTTTTTAAATCAGTGCTTCCAGCAGAAGTCCCAGAATTGAGTACCATTAACCTGATTTGGATATCACTGTGGTCAGAGGAACAGAATGTTCTGATGGGCGAATCTGTGTCACGTAGCCAAGCAGAGCTCCAAGGGGAAAAAGTAATCCCACCTAAAACACATAGAATGAAGATGGGAGAAAGATGACTCCTCAAATGAAAATCAGAGAGTTGTTACCAAAAGAAAAGTGGCTAGATTCTATACAGGCAAACACAACTGGTGCCCTTCACAAGAGGATAAAGAAGAAAACAGCTGGGCATGCTCAGGATTGGTGAGTAGGTACAGTGATAGAGAAGGACCTTAATCCTCTTTTCCGTAATTATTTGATGTTCCTGAAGGAAAGATGGGTGAAAAAATTATAAAGGAAACAGAATATCATGAAATTATCCACACCAGTTAAACCACCAATCACCTCCTGCTCCTAGCTCCCATCTAAGGCACAGGAAGTACTCATTAAACCATTAAATGGAAGTAAAAGAATCCATATCAATGTAGTGCCAAGATGGAGCAGTTGTAAATTGAAACACTTTTTTTATTTTCTCTTAGTTCCAGACAGCATAGAGGTGATCACTATTAATGTTGGGGAAAAAGAAAAGCAAGAGTAAGGTGTAGATTTTAAAAGATTCCATTTTCTTAAAGGAGGAATCTCTTAGCTCATCCTCCCATATGTTTCTCTTGAAATTCTCTGCCTTACAAATTGTTGGATGAGATGCTAATCAAAGAGCTTTGAATTCTTCAGAGAAAAGTCTCTAAATATAAAAAAGCAATGGTAATAATATCAAAACTTGGAAATACAAAGCTATTTTGGTATTGTACACCACAACAATGGAAAAGGAATTTTTCAGTTACATTTAACAGATTAAACTCACTGATTTTTTGTTCAAATCAACCAACCCCTCTGATTGGCATTTTATCAAATTAAAATGTATTCTAGTTTACACACTCAGTTTTGTATACACTCTGAACATCAGAGCATAAATAATACACAAACCAAATGTTGATTTCAGAATTGTGTGTAGGCAGAAAAAAGTTTTTCCTCAGAAATAGATATGTAATTAAGGAGGCATGTTTCAAAATCTTATGTGAAACTATCTTAAGCTTCTGCCAAGGATTCCAGTAGATGCTTAGATTTTTGTTTTGTTTTGTTTTTGCAGTCTGTCTTAAAATAAGAGATACCTGATTAAACATCTTCCAAAGATTTATTTTCTGTAAAACTTTATTCATGAACAACCTTTGTGAATCATACATTCTGCAAACCTTTTCGACCCTTCAGGTTTCATCCTGATGAGGTATAAAAATCAATCCCAATGAAAGTGGCCTGAGAATAGCAATTTTATTCACTGAAGTTGAATAACGGACATTTAATACCATTGATTCACCTCTTATGACATTTCAGGGCCAAGATCAATTCATCCTCTCCAACTTTTCTCACTGTTAGAACTTCCTTATTGTTTAAACATGCTTACAGCACAAAATAATGGCAGAATCTGAACTCTGTGCCAAATGAAAATAGAACTGGTTATTTCTGTATAGCTCTGATTCATAAGCGCTCCCACATGTGTGTCCTGCTTTTTGTTCATCAATCTCACTTCCAGTTCCAGGATGCTAGGAGATCAGAGTTCTAACTCCTAGAAGAGGAATTGGCTTCTTATGGAATAAAAGGTACTTCTCTTTTGTACGCCTCAAAATAACATTCTTTGGCAAGAGCCTGGAAAGATGTTGCACATGCATTTGAGGATATACACACACACACAAAGAATTACTTCTATGAATATATACATGTTATATATGAAGAATATATACACATTTTATACACGGAGATCATGATAGATAGAGAATTATTTTTTGCATCTAGATCTCACACCACTCATATAAGAAGTTTAGAATGAAAAGTATTTGTAATTCAGCTTCTCCAAAGGAGACCAGTATAAGATTATTCATGATGAGGACTCATTCAAAATAGTTCCAAATGTCAAAATAACGGATCTTTTACTACTTTTATCCGGCCTGCTTCCCAAGATATTTAGTAAATTAGATATTTCCCTAGATGTTTTCTCTAGATATTAAGTCTAAATATAAGTTTTCCCCATTTTCCCTCCAACTTTTTAGATTTATGCCCATCACATGCACATCACGGGTCTTCCATGGGCAACCAACTCCGGCCAACAGTTATTTTGTGTCTCACGCAATTGAACTTAGCCTAGTTACTAAAGAAACTCAGGGCCAAATTCTACCACAGAGTTCTTCTCACACTGAAGTCAAAAGTCCGTGCAGGCAACAGAGAAAAGCACAAGGACAGGAGGGCTTTCATCTCTCTTCAGAAGATAATAGCTCCAGGCCTCCTGGTGCTTAGTTTCTGTCTTCTGAAATTCCTGGATTATTTTCCACTTAAAGGCCAAGCTACTGCTCCTTTAGCTGATATCAAATGCAAGAACACCATAGCTGCCAAAAAACAAACCAGAGAAGCATAAAGTAGCCAACACAGAATTCTCAACAGTATCCATTAGCTTGCTGATTCACATGTTACTTATTCCCACTTTAAAATACCAAAAGTTATGCAATGGGAAACCACAACACATTTAACCTGAACCTTTGAAATGTGCACCGATGATAGCAATCCATGAAGTCAACACAGGAAATATAAGTTTAGAGCTATAGCAAGCTTGGAGAGTTTCTGGAACCACAGATCTCACTTTGATGTTCATAGCTATTTCAATCAGCAAAAGTAGCAGTTGCAGAGGAGAGAGCAATCAGATGACTTAGACGAGCATTTCTCAAGAGGATTTTTCTTTCCTTTGAGAAATTCTTTTCAATTTATTAAATTATCTATCACTTTTTTAGCAAAGTGTTTTAGAAGGTAAGCATTTACCAAAGTGACAAGTAATCTACTGGGAATTAAACCAAAAGGAAAACTTAGCTGTTGTCTTTAAAACCACATGTCTTTACATCCCTTGATTGTTAACTTTTATCCCGAAGAGAAGAGGTCTTACTTTCATCGACTTTCAATAGGTAATAACTGGACTATTTTGAGTTGTATTTCCCCCTACCTTGACAACTTAATTGACTTGTTAGAAGTACAATTTACTATATAAAAATGCTTCAAAAGCATTAAATGAATTTTATATAAAAATCCCAACAGTATGCATCTTAAAGCAGAGTAGGAGGGAATAAAAATTAGATAAAAATACTTTTAAGAAACCCAGATATAATATTATGATGCTGTAATTTCTATTCAGAAACATATTTATTCCAAAGCTTTAACCCAATCATCTAACTCAGATATATCATGGCCATTCACACAGAGACTTTCTTTGGAATTAAACTTTGGAATTACTTGTTTACACAAGAAAACTCATCTCAGATGTAGCATCTGTTTCTCACTAAGGCTTAGCTTTCACCTAATTCTCCAAATGGGTTGACTGAGGTTCAAGAATGTGAGGTGACTTGCTCAAGATCATACAGTGAATCCAAGGCAAGCAGCCACTCTCCCTCGAGCATTAGATTGAGATCTTGGTACAAAACTCCACTGATGCTGTGACATATAGCCTGTGACATATACTTACATCCACTTGAAAAATTAAGTTCATTGAGTGAATCACCTGACATCTTTATATTTTTAATCATATCAGAAGGAAGGGAAAAGCACCATGGAATTTGAATGTGTTCACCAGGTCTCCTTTATTAAATTATACGTCTTGACTCCAGAAGCAGCCTAACCTAAAGTATTTGAGTATTAGATCCACAGGTAATATTATATACCTTATATAAGGCAGCAAGAATGAAATAAAAGGAAAAGAATATATGTGCAATATGTTCAAGAGCAAAAAAAAGTCAGCAAAAAACTGTGTACATAGCCCTATGTATTTCACATGAAACATATTTTACTATCTTTATATACTATGAAAGACTATAAGTACTAATTCTTGCTTGAATAATTTATTGTTTTTATATTACTCATTACAAAGAATCCCAAATAATACATAAGTTTAGAATAAATCCAATTATATTTCAAGGAAATTTACTGTGCCATAATATAGTATAAATCTACATACACTCAGCTGAAATAAAATGAATGCTTTTACAATTTGCCACTGTGTGAACTTATATAGTTTCTTATCAATAAGCCTGCATATTTCAACATTTTTCATTTTGATTATGACCTATCTGCTTTAACTGTATGTGTATAGCATTGTTTCAGTCCTTTTCTAATGTACAGTGAATGAAACTATTCAAATTCTTTTTTTTCCAGTTTTTTCCACAGAGTAATATCTTTTGTGTCCATTATTATAAGTATAGCTTCAAATCAAGCAACATATTCACAGTGATTATTCTCAGGCTTGTGTTATTTTTCCACAGAGCCAAAGCTTCTAAGTTCAAATGTTTCTATATGCCTGTAATTATCTATGACTGACTCAGTGATTCCTAATTCTGGCACTGTAACTAAAATGATCTTTTCTATAACCTCCAATGCATATCACATAATTCTTCAGACACTCCTAACAAAGAGCTGCTCAAATTACCTCCTACTTTATTTTAAATAAAAAAATAAATGAGTTATGTCAGGTGTTAACATAGGGAAGCATAATACAGGGTGAAGGATATATGAAAACTCTCTATACTATCTTGCAACTTTACTGTTAATATATATTTCTCCCCAAATTAAAAGTTTAATTAAAAAAATGTCACACTGTATGTCATTTTTAGAAGGAATGAAGCGATGGTCAAAGTTAAAATAAATAAGGTTCTGAAGGTAGAAAAAGACAGGGAATCCTTTGGAGTAACTTCATGATTCTTTCACAAACTTTATTAACCTTTAACTATTTCTTTTCTTTTTCTTACAGTTCTCTGAAGTGTTGATTTATTAAAAGTCCAAACATCTGTAGTGGTACCAAATACCAAAAGTATGCCTGAGTCTTTCTATAATGATAACTAGTCATGATGTGCTTCCATCACCTCACAGTGAAGAACACATACCAACATCCTTTTGTGAAATCATTCAGCAAACATGTGTGGAGCACTTGCTGTATCCCAGATATTATACTGAACATTGGAGATACAAAGTTGTAAGGCATGGTCCCTATGCTTGGAGAGCTAACACTGCAGTGGGGAGAGACACAGACAACACCTAATGAGGGCCTCTAACCCAGTGATGCTGTGCTCCTGATGAGCACTCAGGAAGGCTCCACAAAACAGGTTATCGTTTAACCCAATGGTCACAGATCTTATATTCGATCACACTGTGTAGTTTACAAAATGGTCTCATATAGTTTTTCTCATCCCAGCCTCATTATAAGCTTATAAAGCTAGATGGGCAGCTTTTTCATTCCCACGTTATTGATGAGAGTTACACCCAGGTGCAACTGAGGCCAAGAGAGTTTAATTCATGTCCAATGAACTCCTGCTTTTGTCCTTTTTCTACTACCTCATAAGTTCCTAGGTGGGGTCCTACCAGACTCATTCTATAAAGATCCCATTCTTTCTTGATATTAAAGGGAATGCCCAATGTATTTATTTTTCCTTGGCATATATTCTGTTCTCACCTATTTCTCAACGCAAAGTAAATACTAGTAGTTATTCTCATTTTAAATCAAATCTCCTTTCCCAGGATAGGAGGTTCACTTTTGAAAATAAGTGATTTTCCTAGAATCAACAGTCCTATAAGTAAATCAAACAAATTTTGGGAGTTAATTTAATCTTTCAAGCCATTCATTACTTTTTAGTATACTGAAGAAGGTTGCTCGTGAAAAATATCCTGCATTATAGTCCTTCACACAACATATTGGTTTGCCTCTTTTATGTGCCAGGTATTATGCTGATCCCTAGAGATGAAAAGATGAATAAGACATAAGATCTTCCCTATCTGGTCTAACGCAGGTAGGAAGATCGATGATTATAATGCATATGAGAATTGCTATCATGCCCAGCACCTTAAGAGAAAACTTACAAGGAGTTCCTAAAGTAGAGGGTTGGAGGGGAGCATTTTAGGCTGAGTTAGAAGCAGATGCAAAGATTTGGAGTTGGTGGTGTAGCTGCTCAAGAAACCGGTAGTAATTTAGAAAGGCTAGGTACAGAGGGAGTTGGGTGACTGGAGAGATGAGATTACAGATGAGTGGCTTTGCACGTCAGGCTAAGGATCAGAGACTTTATTCCAAAAATGAGGAGCCACAGAAAGATTTTAAGCAAGAAAGATGTGATCAGAGATATGATATGAAAGAGATAAAGATCACTATAGCCACCGTGCAGAGAATAGAGAGGAGCAGAAGAAAACTGTAGTTAGAAATAAGTGAGAAGAACATAACAAGAGCCAAGAACACACTGATGAGAAGAATAAACTTATTTGACCAGGTAATGAGAGCTTGTCTCGAGAAAAGAGGAAGGATTCAAGAGTCATCAAGGAGAGCAATACGATTCAGTGGACAACTGGCTGTGAGTGGAGAGGAGACAGTGATGGAGAGAGGAGGGTTGAGGAGGTCTCCCAGATTGCCAGCTTAGCTAACTGAGGGAGGCTACTCACAGAGAAGAGGAAAAGGGAGATTGCCGAGAGGTCAGATTGGGAGGGGCCTTAGGGAGGACGGGGGTGAGCAGGAGTGAGAAAATAAGGTGTTTCACTTGGGACACACTGAGTTAGAGGTGTCTGTGCTTCTGCTGCAGGTCTACACTCAGGAAAATGTCTGTGATAGTAATATTTCGGCGCTATTTGCTATAATAGAATTTGGGCTTCTGAAAACTGTGTGTACATTGAAGTTACGGGCTCAGGTTTTAGAAAGAGACAGGCCAGAGTTTGCATCATGGATTTACCTCTAACCCCTTAATTAGCAAAGCCTCAGCTTTCCCATCTGTTATTATCTATCACATGTGATTGTTGCAAGGATAAAAATATGTGTAACGTAACAAGCATGATGCTTAGCATAGAAAAAGAACACAAAAATTGTACCTTATCATTATCTTTCAAACATGCTCAAAGCAAATCTTTTAGTAAACTAATACATTTTTATAAAGGAATTTTTTTTTGTAAGGGAAAGGAATAAGTACCTCCCAATTCAATTGTTTCACAATTTTGTATATTTATGCCGTGATTCATCAAGATTGTTTTTTTTTTTTTTTGGCGAGGAAGATTGGCCTTGAGCTAGGATCTGTTGCCAATCATCCTCTTTTTGCTTTAGGAAGATTGTCCCTGAGCTAACAGCTGTGCCAATCTTCCTCTATTTTGTATACTGGATGCCTCCACAGCATGGCTTGATGAGCAGTGTGTACATCCACACCTGGAGGCAAACCCACGAACTCTGGGCTGCCAAAGCAGAGCGCACAAACCTAACCACTACGCCACCGGGCCAGCCCCTCATTAAGGTTTTTTTAAAGCAGATTATACTGCTTTCTGGCTCAATAGATATTAAAATTACTTTTGAAATTCAACATACACATCAAAAAACTTTAATTATATCTAAGCAAATGAAACACTCTCACTTTATAAAAAGTTAATATTTTGTGCTATTATGAACTACTATGATTTTCATCACTTGGATGTACTAAAGGTTAAGGAGACTGAGAAAAAATGTGGAGGTATCCCAGCTTTTAATTGCCTAATTATAATTTTTTGTAGGTGATTTCTCTTTTTAAAAAAGACAGAGATGATAATCCAAAAATTTCAGCTGGCTTTAGGAAGCTCACACTCTAAAATATAAGAGGGTAGAAACCCCTCCCACCTGACTTGTGAGCTCATCCTTAAGAATGCCCTGCGGTGATTCTTCCTATCAAAGGTCATTGGGAGGAAACTGGAAAGTCTAGTGGCTTTTTTTTTTTAACCAACTCTTTGTGCTAAAATTTAAAAAGTCTGGATGCAGCACAATCAGAACTCCTCAACCACACGACATAAATTTTTAGTACTTGTTGTTCTGGAATCTAACAGAAGAAATACTTGACTTTTGCTTGGTCCCATCCCATTAGCATTAATATGTTGTTTTCATTGGGGTTGTCTTCAAAAAAGATATGGCTATGAGATATGATATATTTAAACACCAGTTTTCAAACTAAGGTCATGAAATAAATGCAGCTTTTTAAAATGAAATAGAATTAAATGGAATATAGTAGAGTAGAATAGAAAATATCAGACTGCATCTGCTACAGAAAAAGTAAGTACTGTTTTGTGATACCTCTTATTTATGAGTCACACATATGTATCCCTGTGTGTGGGTGTGTTTACTGGGTCACAATGTATGTTAATTGCAGTTAAATGTTTAAAGGCCATAGCATTGTAAATTATACACTATGAAATAAGCAAACTAGAAAAGATATAATACTTCACTGAAAAATCTTTTTCCTTCCTAAATTATGCCCATTTTGCATTCAAAATCTGTCTCAAAATCCATTTTTAAAATAGAAATTTCAGGGACCGGCCCCATGGCATAGCGGTTAAGTGCGTGCGCTCTGCTGCTGGCAGCCCGGGTTCAGATCCTGGGTGCGCACCAATGCACCACTTGTCAGGCCATGCTGTGGCAGCGTCCCATATAAAGTAGAGGAAGATGGGCACAGATGTTAGCCCAGGGCCAGTCTTCCTCAGCAAAAACAGAAGGATTGGCGTGGCTCAGGGCTGATCTTCCTCACAAAAAAAAAAAAAAATGACGACTGCAAATGGCACACAGGCTCA